GGTAACCTTTCATAGAAACAAAAATTGGGAAATGGTCGCTGCCCATCGTGTCAGGAGCTATTTGCCACGTTACTTGAAGTTCCGACGAATGTGCGGTCACATCTATGGCACTAAAAGAGGCAGATTTCGGCCAGTAGTCGTCCTCGTTCATCAATTCTTGCGTCTCCCCACAATTCATGATGAGCGTTCCAATCGCCACATATAATGACTGGCGTTGGACAGCGTTTACAGAGTTCTTTTACTATAGCGTCTACCGCTACCTTTACACGAGGCCGTACATAAACCGATACGACGCTGAGATATTTTTCTCTAAGTTGCACTCTGGCCGCCGCTAGGTCTATCAACTCTGTGCACAAATCAACTGGTATCTCTATGTGAGGCACTCCGTTACGCACATAGAGTGCTGCGCGACCATTGGGAAACGATGAGATCGATGGGTTTTTGTACACGTCGTACCTGTAAATTGTTCGCTGCAGCGGTAAGCCCGCTTCACATAGTGCAAGAATTGGGACAGGCATTGTCTGTAGCAGTAACTTTAACTCGGAAAGACGGGGTTGGATTCCAGCGCAGTTCCATTGAAGCAGCAGTGCTACTTTTCTTGGCGGCTTTAGATTTCCTCCACTGCTCATGGCCTCAAATAAGGCTTAGGTGGTGAAGAGAGTGAGGAGCGTTGTCAGTATTGAGTGAGAGGTTCGAGCCCAGGGTGCAGCGATCGAGGAAAGTACATTGCAAGATAAATTGAGTATGAGCTTCATAATCGAGGTCCAGGTTGTCTCGACAGTCTCTGTTTCCATCTCTGAAGTGTTTTTCTTTGCATGTCTTGGTTTCTGCTTTCGTTCAGTCACCGTACGTGAAGGCTCTGGATTTGGTTTCGTTTTGGCAAAGATGACTGGAATGTTTGGTTCTTGGTCTGCCAGCGCGGCGGCGTACGTTATTCCTGGACGTGGAGGTGGAGGTGTCTTTTGCACTTCCATCTCCTTGCTTGACTCTACAATCAGTGGTGGGTCAGTTGGTTTTATGTTGGGTTGTGAATTCTTCTCTGCCAAGTTGCTCTGCTTCAGCTGCTGGAGTGCAGATTTCGCCGAAGGAAAGCTCAGATCGTGGTTTTTGGCATAGGTTAGAATGTCTTGTTCATGTTTCCACCTAGGGCATAATGGTGACGTTGCCTCATGCGAACCGTTGCAGTTCAAGCACTTGGCGGGGCGATTCGAGCAATCGACCTTTTCTGTGCCTGTTATTACGTGACACTCACCGCATCTACTGCATCCAGGAGGTCTCTTGCAGGCAATGGCGCGATGTCCGAAGCCACTGCAATTTTTGCACTGGATCGGCCGCTCCTTGAAAACCGCCACTGAATGTCGGACGTGGCCAAGGAGAACATGGGATGGCAATTCGGTACCAGCGAAGTTAATCTTGACAGACTCGGAGGCGCCCAGTCTACGCAGTCTTGTTATGCGAACTGTGGATCTGATGTTCTCAGTGATCTCGGCGTCCGATAGGTTGGTTTCGACATCTCGAATCACACCTACTGCCGCAGAGCGCGAGGAAGGTTCGTAGGCGTTACTTGTAGGCCGCAGATGGACGTGCAGTTGAAAAGCGTTCGCGTTGTCTGGCCGTTTCGTGTGTCTACGGCGATTAAATTGAGTCTGTCATTGACGCGTACTTCAATGATGCACTCAGGACAAAGCTTTTCTAGAGCTTTAGAGATCTTGAGGCTTCCGAGCGTAGTGATAATCTGATCAGGCTTGTTTGATGTAAAGATTACCGTCAGCGACTCAGTGCTTCTTGAGGTTGTGCAATTTCCTGAGAGATGCACTGTAGATCAGGAGGTAGAGTTCCCCTGCTTCTGCCTTTTTCGAGTTGATCTAACAAAGTGCCACTTGCCGGACACATTATCCTCGGCGTCCATGTCGGCGATGTCACTAACGGATAACGGTGGGAAGAGTTCGTAACGATTGCCTTCAGGGAGGGACATAGGACCAGCATCGGTTGGGCAAGTTTGCTGACCAGGCGTGATGGCAGAAAGGGCTGCTGAGCCGTCGCTTGAAGGAATCATGCCCTCTCCGGCTTGCTGGGACATCATTGGGGCTGGAACGAGGGCCCTGAAAGGGCGCCCTCCCCGACTTCAAAGGAATGCGATCCAAAAGTAGGGTTTCAAGAAGCCGCGAAGGAACAGAGCGTCCGCTTACGACCACTTCTTCGTCTTTTTCCGGCATCAGGGAAGCACGGCACGTGAGTAAGTGATCCTTCCATTGCACTGAACGAAAAGGAAATTGAAGTGCTGAGACACTACATAGCATAACGAGGCGGACACCAGCACCGGCTTCAAGGTCCTCTCTCACACCACAAAAACCGAACGTTTAACAGAAAAGGGAAAAAACACAACAAAAATCGAAAGTCCACACATCTTCATAAAGGCATTTATCATTATTTCCTAGCGTTCGCTCCTTTCCAAACTCACGCATCGGGAAACTCGAAAAAAGAAAAGAATAAACAGTTGTTAGTCTGCGCCCATTCGTGTTCGTTGTGTTTCTCCTCATCTCAATGTAAACTCATCCTTTTCTTTTCAATTTTAGTCACGCGTTTGTTCTGTAGAACTTCGCAGAGCAGCACGTCTATCGAGGTACAGGAACTCCTCATAGGGGGAAGAGGTATCGTGTCCGCTCGTGTGTACCAGCACCAGGGACGGAACGAGAAAAACGACGACGACACGGGCACGTGCAATTCCTGGGGCGATCGGGCGCCATCCACCTCGAACGCTTTCATGTGAAGTATTTCTTGATGTAACCGATGTAAATGAGCATGTAAAGTCATTATTTCAACTAGTAAACAGTATGTTAATATTTGCTTGTGTCCGGCTAGCAGGCAGGGCAATGGCGCTACTTTCCCAGGATCCAGTGACTTTAGGTAAGACAAAAGAAGGTCGGCAATGGCGGCTCAATCTGGCGCGTGGTGTTTGCAAGTACGACTTCTGGGCACAGCCATCATGCCGGTGTGTTGCCTTGCCAAGGCACGCCCAGGGTTGCCAGATTGGCGCCCCATCAAAGCGTTTTCCACCCACGGTGGCAAGACTTGTGAAGCGTGACCGCATGCTTGCAAGCGTGTCTGTCGATGAACCTCCGTACAACACAGATTAATGCAGATACCTGTTACATCAATTTTATTAGCCTTTCTGCAGTGCAGTCTTCTTTGAACCCTATACATTGTTCGGATATTAGCGGTAGGAACCAGGGGCCGCTTGCTTAAACAATAGTCAGACTTATTTCGCTTTTTAAAAACAAACCTTCGCCCTTGGATTACGTTCCTTTCAAAGCCGTCTACACTCCAGGAAACGGCACGAAGTCAGCAGGCGAAGGCAATCGCCAGACCTGGGGTGCTATGTTGCGCTTTTTGGACTCCCAGGAGACTAGGAAGAGGGAAGTGACGTCAACGACACAGCAAACGCAGATTGGATGTTGACAGAAGAAAACGAAATCAACACCCAATCTGCGTTCGCTGTGTCCTTGACGTCACTTCCCTCTCCCTAGTCTCCTGGGAGTGCAAAAAGCGCAACATAGCCCCCCTGGGGTCCCCAGGAGGTCGTTTAAGCAAACGCCTCCTATAGAGAACAGTGCTGAGGTGATTGACTTTCCCAGTCACCTACCGGAGGCCAACAGGAAGCATAGATTGGACGAGAGTGCATGCTTCAGCATTGAACTGGAGCTCGGCTCTTCACTGAGTGGACTCGAGTCCCGGTCGAACGAAGACGCAGCACTGGTTTTCGATCTGTGCCCGTCGCTGCCCTTCGATTACTGACGTAGAATGTCTAGCGCTACAACTTCCTTATTCACAATATGTTATTCAAGCTGAAATACCAGCATGTACCCGAAACAATTTACAGCGACCTTCATCTCCAAAGTTTTATAGTATTTAAAAAGCAATCGTTTGAATTCGTTTATATGGCATTAAACAGTCGTTTCGGGTTGGTGAAGAACCTAGTATATAGTTTCATGGATTGTCCCGCTAAATGTAACAGGGTAACTGATTTGGTACCAAAGTCACGTGACATCAATTTTCTAGCGGGAAACTAAATTAGCGTAATTGGTCGCGTGACGTAACATCAATTTTCTAGCGAAAAAACGAAATTGATATACAGGTGCCGTGACGTCAGGTCACGTGACATCAATTTCGCCGACAAATTTAGCGGGGAAATAAATTGAATTTGTGTGTACGTCACAGGATGGAAATTTTCCCGCTAAATTTAGCGGGGAAACTAATCGGTGTGCAGGTCACGCGACGACAATTTCCCGGCTAAATTTAGCCGGAAATGCAGGGACGAATGGACGTAAGGACACAACTTTGAGATTATGGGGAGCTCCATGAAAAACCATTTTATGTTTTGAAGTGTTTCGTGTTCTCTTCACCGCAAAAATTAGATTGCCGAACGCCGAGCCTCCGCCCAGTTGTAGCAGTCCGGACTAGAAGCCAAATTTTCCGAACTAACCGTCATCGTATCCAAAAGTAATACTTTCTGAAGGTTCCAATGGAGAAATGGGACCCCTTCCCGGTGGTTGACGCCATTCATGTCCCTGTATGCTTGGGCTTCGTCGGCCGCCATTTTTCCACTCAAAATTTCAAAAAATCTCTCCTTTGAATGATATAACAGCCAGCTCTTAAACTCTACCATCTGGTACGGACCACTAGCGCTAAATTTTGGCTGAGAGTGAGCATTCAGCTTTGCGTAGTTTATTTTTGCGGTGAAAACAAGCATTGTATATATATACTTTTTTTTTTCAGGGGGGGGGGGGGGGTACCTTGTTGCAGAAAGTGCAAGGGTGCTATCGCGGTGAACATGACTGGGGCTGTAAAAGACGCGTGCGAGGTGCCTTGTACAGGACGCCACGTACAGTTCGCAAATCATGTTTTTGCACACGCGCAGACAACAGTTCAATATATCCCGGGACGTTTAGAACATTGCCCGTCAATTACCATCATTAAAGTGTTTTATTTATTTATTTCAGCTCACCTCCCATTCTACAAGCAACTTCATGGCGGAGTAGTTTTCGTTGAATCCATACCAAGAAATACCCTCGGAAAGATTGACAAGCAATGCCTGAAATTCCGTTGATTTTTGGCAATTTCGGAGCTTCGTTCATCGTTTATGCACTTCTGATAAACCCAGAAAGTACTTTATTTCCAATAAATGTTTGATTTGAAAGCATCAGTAGTTATTGCTGTTATTAAGTTTTTTTATCGTGTATAAAGAGGTGAGCCGTTGGGTGAAAATGCAAGACTTCTTCTATACGGATTAGCTATGCAGATAGTAAAGCGAATATTGAAGGAATTGGGAGAAGGAATGCAAATTCTAAGTGCACTTCACAATGTATCCCGAAGCACGTATAAATAGAGCAATGAAGAGTCAAAGCCCCTTAGCCTATATGGACATCAAGGGGGCGTACGATAGCATATAAGCAAGGAAAAACTCTTGTGGCCAAGTGAAGAGGTATAACTTACGAGTAGATGCAAACCTCGTTAGGTTTTTTCGACAAAGGTGCACCGACAATAAGGTAGTTATAACATGGGAAGCAGAAACTACACAACCAGCAACAATAAAGGGAGGGCTCAGACAGAATGTCCACTCTCACCCCTCAAGGCATACCTAAGTGGAATGGAAAAGAAATTAACGCAAAGCAATTTAGGTATTGACGTGAGTTTTTTGGAAGGAACAAATATAATATAAGTAATCCAAGAACAAATGTATAAAGACTTACATGGTACTCATGGCAGATAACCGCGATACATTGCAGAAACTAACTTGAATATGTGGCGAGGAAAGGGACAGCTTGGGCCTGAGTTTTAAGTAGTGACAAATCTGGATTATTGGTGTTCAACGACGAAAAGAGGGAACCCCTGAAAATAAATGACATTGAAATAGGCCATGTAGAAAAATACAAATATTTGGGAGTACGGTTCATTGAGGGAGTTAAATATCTACCCCTACAAAAATATGTGTAGACGTCCTATGTCCATACTTTTGCCGTTCTATTGTCCTTTTGTCCATCCTATGGATTTCTGTAGACAGTTCTTGGACCATTTATGTACCGCTGGTTTGCCATAGAACGGCCATAACAACGCCATAGGGATCTCCGCGAAACAAAAAGTTTTTTCATTCCTTTCCATTTCCTATAGACCGTTCCATTAGGGTCATAGCAGAGAGGGTAAAAGAGAAAAAAATGCACTCCCCCTCTCACCCCGCATGACGTCCGCTCCGCCGAGTGAGCTGTAGGTAGCGTCCGGCTGGCGTGCAAACTCTGTTTAAAATCGCGTCATTTTGGAACTTTCAAGCGCAGATGCGCAGATTTTGGTATGCCAGTTGTCGTGTAATATTATGCTAGATAAAAAGACTCACGGGGTCCAATTGCGCTGTTACCTGCGTGCAAATAAAAAAAAAATTGGGAAAACTGCGTCAGATTGGCCGGTCTCTTTGGCGAAAAGTAAATCCGGTTGCTGTACCGTTTTTACTATACACAAGTTCGTACTGGTGTAGGCCTTTAGCGACCGTGAATGGAAGTCTGAAATAATAAATAAAACGTGCTCTCCTGCCGCAATACAAGCAGTAGTTGAGGGTAGTACTGCCGGCTCACTCAACTGCTATTTAAGTAACGGAAAAAAGATATGCTAGTTGATCATTTAGCAAAATAGAACAACAGAGAGCTATAGGCTGATTTGGGATTAGCCACAACTAGTCTAAAAACGCGAACCACTTCACAACGGTAGCCCCGAGCGAGAGTTCGATGTTCCGTACAGCCCGCCGATACAGCCCAAAGATGGAGAACGGCAACCTCCCGGTTTGTCGTCTGCTAGCGGAGTCGCGCCCTCTCTCTCGTTTTACCCCGCCGAACCCGCTGAACTTTCCGGATGTGTGGAGAGGGCGCTGCGGTCGCACAAAATGGTGCCGCCCAGAGAGCGCTAAATGGAATGGTCTATAGTAGAACACGAAGAATGTATAATTAGAAAAGAAAAAGAAATTCAGCTGTTATGACACTTGAGGCACTATGGAATTATAATAAATACAAAGTGGTCAGGGGTAGATGGAAAAGAGTGATGGTGCCCTAGCTGTTTTTGGCAATGGTGTGCTGTGCATGAAATCAGAGGTTCAATCAGGATTGGGAATTCTTCAAAGGAGCGTGGAAAAATTAGCGCTGGTAGCGCATGGGAACGCACCAAATGAGCGAGTGCAGGGGACGTGGGCTGGTCGTTCCTTGAGGGCACTGAGGCAATAAGTAAATTGACATTTGAAGAAAGGCTAACTAAAATTGATGATAACTGGTGGGTTCAGAAAGTATGCATGAAATTTTTAAACACAAAATAGAGACACTCTACTTGAAAGCCCCCATTTAATTACATGCACACTAGTGACGGGACTGAGCAGATAAGTTCATTCAAAAAGGGAGTGAAATAGGCAATATGTCGTCGACAAATCTGCGAACAATCAAGTTTCCTATCCCCAAAGATTCTACAGAAGATGTCACTTGCCTGTCTAATACATTGAGATAAAATCCGAACAGCGGAGCCACTGCCGGAGTCGGTATACACACTCCTCACCTCTGAATAAAAGGCTCTCCGTTAGACGCACGTTTACAACGGTTGAACTTAGATGACAGTTCAAGAGTCGTAACAACACAAAGACCGAAATCTCCGCTTGAGCTTGAAAGGAAACTATTCAGCTCGAGAATGCTTCTCACTCTACTCAGCAACAGGTTAGTATTGAAGGAGCAATATAGATATTTTATATGGACATCAAATCACAGTCCTTCTGGTGAGGGGGAGATAGGCTGTCAAGCAACTCCTCTTAATTGCGAAGGGACAAACCTCTAAAAAAAGGGAGGAGAAATGGAGGAAAAAACGATGTTCCTCCCTGTCGCCAACGGAAGGGAGGAAATTGCCCCCGTTCCTCCCTTTTATGGATGGATGGATGGATGGATGAATCCGGCTGAGCCCTTTGGATCGGGCGGTAGCTTACGCCACCTAGCCATTTTGTTTTACCATTTAAGCTTAGAATATTTATATGTGAAATCTATATTCACTCCGCACTGCGAAGAAAGTGAGGCTATAAAAAAAAACAACCTTGCCATCGGTTAATAAGAAAATACCTAGTTTTCTCTCGCTTTCTGCCACCATTCACTTAATCTTTGCATGGTAATCTCTACAGTCTTGAAATCCACTATCCCTTCGCTGTCTCTAAAACCCAATGACTTTATTCAATCTATGTTGTCTTCGGTAGGCATAGGGTGAAGCTCTTTACAGTAGAGTATCAAGTGCTCAGCCGTCTCGTCCTCCTCTCCACAAGCAGTGCACACTGTATCCATTTCCTGGTACTTTTCTCTGTATGTTCTGGTTCGCAGAACACCCATCCTCGCCTCAAACAACAATGAGCTTCCCCTAGAATTGTCATAAATGCTTTCTTTGGCAATAACTGTTTTGTTTAATCTATAGCTTTCCAGAGCCGTCTTTGTCTGCATTCCCTCTAGCCACCGATCTCTTTCTGTGGCCTTAACTTTCTTCTTAACTGAGACTTGCTCTTCCGTATCTCCACTACAGCCTAAAAGCTTTACTCTTAATTTCCTAGTGCGCTGTCTCCACTTTGTGTCTATACTCCTCATGTATGAATAGCTGAAAACCTTTCGTGCCCATTGCTCCCCATCCATTTGCCTCAACCGATCCTCAAATTCTATTTTGCCCACCGCTTCCGTGCTCTCAAATGACGCCCATCCCATGTCTCCTTGTACTCCTTGGTTTGGCGTTTTGCAATGTGCCCCCAAAGCCAGCCTACCTACTCCGCGCTGTTTTATTTCTAGTCTTGCATGCACTTCGGATTTCATGCATAGCACTGCGTTTCCAAAAGTCAAGCCAGGCACCATGACCCCTTTCCAAATCTCTCTCATCACCTCATACCTGTTGTAATTCCAAAGTGTTCTATTTTCACCAATCCACATGCAGCGCCACCTGTTGGCTCTTTTAAAAGGGACGAAAATTCCTTCTCGATGTTCGCGGCGGCAGCGGCGGTCCAACTGCCTCTACCGCCGCGAACATTTTCAATGGCGGTGACGGCAACTTACAGGGGTACGGAAACAAAAATTGAAATATTCAAGTTTCGTCCGGAAATGAGTCAAGCATGACGGATAAGAACCGTAAATGATAATCGCATGTTTGTATTTTGAACGACTGACTATATCTTTCGTTTTAAACGGTGCACTCGAGCAAGCACTCGAAGAGAAGCGAACGGAGAGCGCGATGGGGATATCCGGCGCAAACAAAAACAGAAAGAAAAGATTCCCCGCATTCGTGAAGTAGCAAGGCTGGCGTGGTTATGACCTTTGCCGTTGGTGGCGTTGTCAGCGTTGCGGTACAATCGAGCTGTTCGAAGTGCCCGTGCGGTGACGAGCGTGTGGCTGGCCCAAGGAGCACGTAGCTTCCACAACACTGTCAGCTTAGGGCTGAACGGGATGGGGAAAGCAACTTTTGTCCGAGTTTTGAGCGACAGGCTAATCTTCTAGGGGGAGAATGGTTGTGTCCTGGTACACAAACGAGGGTCCGAGAAAGTCCCTCCTTTCCGTCTTCTTGGACTGTTTGGTACAAAGCGCGATTTTTGAGTTGAGGAGGAAAGCTAATAAGGAAAATGTTGAAATTCCAAAGAGCGGCGCTGCTCCGATGGAACTTGTTACGTCATGACTACGTAGCAGTCCCCAACGTTGCTAGATTACCTCCCAAATAGGCTCCACATGCATCCACCAGGTGGACATTCAAAGATCGTTTAATTAGCTTTAAAATTAGTTTTCTTGTGCCTTTCAACGAAAGTCTGGTATCTTTGAGGTTATGCTGCAACATGCAACACATTAAAGCTAAAACATGAGCGCTGGAATTTGGTTTCCGTACCCCTTTAAGGGCTTGGTTACCGTCACTTAGAGCGATCCCACTACTGCCCATGCGCGGTGCTAGCGGAGGAAAAGCGGAGCAGCGGATGCTATTCGCGTCTCCAGCTCGACGCTCGCCCTCCCGCGGCGGAAACGAGAAGCGCTCTAGTGAGGGTCCCCCGATTCTGCCGCTCAGCGGGCACGGCGGAACTGCTCGTGATCATGGCTCGCGAAATGCCATTTCCGAATGCAAACAGCACTCTTCACCGTCCCAACGTA